ACGAAAATTTTCTATATCATCGATATATTGATATAAATTTTTATCGTATAGTCTCATAACGAAGATAAAGCAACCTTTAGGATCTCGTGATACGCCAAAGAAATCAGCCACAAATTCACCATATAGATACTGATGATGTTTCAAAACCTAAATAGGATAAAAGAGATCATCTTTTTAATATGATAGATTTAAGAATTGTTAATATTAAACATACATACATATAAAGTATATACTAACATTGTCCAAGTATTCTGTGCTTAACGATTGAGAATTTTCAATTCTTTTTAATGCACATTCTATTGGACCATTTCTAATCCAGTCAGTATCATACTTATCCCAAAGATTTCTTGGACCATCTAACCAGATTGCGGAATAAATAGTGCTAAAGGAACCGCGCAATTTAAGTTTAATACAATCAAGATCATCAAATGGAATCCATTCGAGGTAATTCATACTCTTTTGCGCGCAACGCTGAGTAAATTGAATAAGATTATCCATTTTTTTGTCATTACTAGTCCATTTATTAAAATTTCGCACGTTCCTTTCGTTTAGGCATGAACACCACGAATAGTTGTTAAGAGTTCGTTTACACTCAACACACGTATCTAGTGATGATGGTAACGCCATATTTAAAGGACAGCTAAATAAAATTAAATATAAAGAATATAAAGAAGTGAATGAATAGTTTTAAGATTGAAATTTATGAATTAGATATTTTATGCAAAATATTATCAAGAATTCGTTTTAAAAAAAAATTATAAAATACTTACATACTTACAAGAAAACGACAGCGAAGTATAAAGTTTTTTTTTTTTTGATTGAGACATTTATAGGCAAAAATAACTCATATGGTGAATATATTAAATCATTTGATTGGATATTTAATTGGTTTTATTATAAATGTTAAAATATCATACTAATTTGGCAATTTAAAGAGTGACATAAGAATAGTATGTCATGAGTATAAGTCTACGTTGCACCAAATAGTTGAGAGTTCTCCGAAGAAGGATTTTATGCTATATCCTTTCCTTTTCCTTTATTTTTTATTTATTTTATTTATTTTTTTCATTTGCGCAGAATACTAATCACACATTGCGGGGTGGCTTAAATTAATGTTTCATAAATCACACGATTTAATATGTGCATTCGTATAATTATTATACGATCACAATATCAGATTTAACAAGGATTTTCTTGTAATTGAAATAGAATTAATTTTGATCCAAATAATATACATATATATATAGTGTATATATTATCTTTATGGTATATACTTACTTATAACAATAAATTTCAGGTTTAGAATTAGTAATTAATTACGGAAAACCGTGTGGTTCTGTCAGTAGGTCAAATAAAGATGCAACAAATTAATTGATGTTCAGCCATTCTTAAAGGGGAAATAGTATTTTTTTATCTTTAAAGGTAATTGACCTATAAAATTTTTAGAAATAGCGCGTGGAATTTGTTTGTAAAATTAGCGGGGCTGGAAACTGTAGCCTTACCAGGTTCATGTATAATTATGCATTATCGAATGAATAATGGTAATGTTTGTAGCACAGTTTTGTTTTTGTATAATCATTGTCTTATTTTGTTTTGTTCACATGGAATTTTTAATACGTATACCCGTTATCGTTATTATTATATGTAACAATTCTCCTTAAACCAATAAACTTAAATTTATTATAAAGTTTGGATTAAATATTAAGCATATTTATAAGCCGACCTCTTTTTTTTAATAAGTCCTAAGGATTTAATTTAACGAGAATTGACTGTATACTATACGTAAATTTCTTACAGTATTGGCAATTATTAATCTCGGCTGATGTATTTGAAATCACGAGACATTATAAACTTTTCACGAAGAATCTTTTTTGGAAGTCAATAGCATGATATAATGAAAAAACAAATTACTCAAACTATAAACGAATTTAAACATTAAGCTTTTTCCAATAATCATTTAATTATAAGAGGAAAGTGAACCCTTACAAGTCCGAAGCAATGATTACAAGTCACATGTGATTTATTGTAGTAGACAGAAAATTCAAAGTCACGGTTTTTTTTAAAAAAAATATTTATCATCAAAAATGGAGTTCTGATACGGCTTTGCAAAGCAATCATCTCTACACTCAGTAATAGATTTTTAAATAAGTCATTAATGAAATATACTTTTAATTGGCAATGAACATTATTGCATTTACTGTAATTCAAATTTATCTAAAAATGATATACTGCTTATTTAAAAATAAATGCGTTATCTATTCATATTTTATTAAAATTGAAACCCAACGGACTACAAAACATACCACATAAAGGTCTAATTTAAAATTTCGATATTATAGAATGTAAAACTTTGGATAATGCACTGATTTTGTATCGGCTTACTTTTCCAACACTGATCAACGTTCATGCTGTGCATGGCCTTAGAGTCACAGAAAATATGTGATAGGCGGGGTTTCCGAACCTCAGAATCTACAAATATTGAGCAGGCACCTTAATGATTTGGAATCTATATTGTGGCAAAATATTGAAAAAGTGACCGGTTCTCATTCACGAATCAATTATAAATAAATACAAACGTTAAATTTTGCATTACATAGTCTAACTAAAATCGGATGCTTTAGAAGATACGGTTTTTATGGAAAGTTTCGATGTATGGCAAAGGAAAATTTCATCATAAAAGTAAAAAACTGTGTCACCATTTATAAATTTAGGACTTCATTGCTTTTATTTTTCCTAATCTGGATTCATTTAATTCTTTCACCATTGTACGCATACGTAACCACAACAGAATTCTTTGTTAAAAAATGTATGATAATTATCTCGTACGTTCGTACGTATAGCAGTTTTTTTTTCACGGTAATGGTATAGACTATAACTCAGGATACTGTAAATTATTTGATTAATAATCATTTTAGAATTTAAAATTTCCGAGTCTTATAAAAGTTTAGTCTTTTAAGAAAATAGCAACTTTTAGACGATAGATTCAACATTATTGATAGTGGTTAAAAATTAATTTATTATTTATTTCATAATCTGTGTATTATCTAGAACCGGATTGAAAATAATTGCAAGTTAAACTCAATATCATATACTATTCCTACACTTATCCGACAGGTCCTATGTGCGCACTAGACGTTTTTTGTATATATTATTCGATCACTTTCTAATCATGTGAAAGCTCAATTTTTTGATATTATTTCTTTTTGCGTAACTCATAAAATTCATATTAGTGAAAGTTAAGGGGAAAAGATTTAACGAAGGAAAAAAAGTAAATAAAAAGTTAAACGAAAAAAATGATGAGCGAAAGTGGAAAAGTAAGCGAACGTAAAAAAAGAGTAAAAGTGAGTCTAATGATTAGAAAGATCGAATAATATATACGAAAAACGGCAGTGCTTACGTCGGACCTTACGGATAAAAATGTTATCAGTTAAGTTGTAATGAAAACTGATTATTCGTAGGGAACAATATAAATGACGTGGCAAAGCCACGCCATTTATATAGTAACCTAACGATAAGTCAGTTATCATCCACAACCTAACCAATAACAAGTACGAATTGGCCTGCACAACTATCGATGTAACCAAAACCTATTCGGCACCAATTGACAATTACGTCAGTTTTTGATATTATGGTATTTGGAATTTTGTTACGGACTAGTTTTTCGCAGTTTGGAGCTTGGGATTCGTCACATGACGAAACTATCGTACATCATTATGCACAATCTACAATATAAACTAATAATGGTTTGAAATGTGAATCTGCTTTTCTCCCTTACATTTTTCTTAAAGTAATGTTAGCGAAACTGTTTTGTTTAGAATGTACGCTTTAAAATAAACCGCTTACGTAAGATGATGTAAGTAATTAATTCAAAGTCACATGACGCATGACCAATGATTCAGAGCAACAAAAAAGAGAAGCTTTTCATTAAACTATTAAAATAATAGTTCAAATAGGTTAATTATTAGAGTTTGATTAAAGAGAGTTACAACTCCATTTCTTGATTGCACCGCGCAATAAATTTAATTAATTTTTGAAGAAAAAACTTTTTATATTACGTAATTTTTTAACATTAACATTGTCTGATCTCTTGTCACACCAGCAAAAATAAATAGATATGCGACGTACCTACGTGCGAACTTTACGAATAGCATGAATCACCAATAGGACAATCATTAAATGAAGCGAGTCTTTCTGATTAGAGATCCATTGAAAACAATGCTGAGTTTACATTGCTGGTCTAATTGCTTAAACAGTTGTTTTTTTAGCATCGATGCAGTATCAAAATAGGGATGTAATTACCAGTCAATTTTATCCGTTCAAACAAGTAAATTACTGTAGGTAAGGATTCATTCCATGTTTTTTTTTTTTAGATTTTACCTTAATATATAAAGTGCGCTTATGGCGCTTTACATTCCATGTTTTAAAATAAGCTCTTATTGAACAAAATTTATTATCAACATAATGCGTAATCAATTACAGAATAAATATGACGTATCTTTTAAGCGTTATATTATAGAATTTTAAATTTATCTATACATAGTTTTTTACAGTTAAATCTCCGAATGCTGGACCTCTCCAATCTGTAGTTAAATCTATAAATGTTATGTCTTTCCAATCTGCGATTAAAGACCTGAATCCTATATTCAATGTCTAGAACCAATTAGAGAGAAAGATTTTTTGTTCACTTTCTCAAATACTTTATAGAGAATAATCTCGAAAAAAAGGGTTGTTTAAAAAATAATTTTATGTTTGATTGAAGTTCTGATTTTAAATCGTTTGCCTACATGGAATACAGATTCTTAATTATTTCATTCATATAAACAAATAAAAATACCGATTTCGTTAAAGAGCGTCGTTACAATAATCGAAACCCCCATTTTATATAAGGCGTTTATTAGTTTTTTCTTCTTATATGATTTTATTAGTCTTTGTTTAATTCACTTAACGTTATGCGAATTAATCACATGAAAAAAGGTTATAATTTTAATGCGTGATTACATGTATACATTGAAACTATAATCTTGAAGGGAAAAAAGGTATCGTATCAATATCGATATAATTATAGCTTCAATATTTCATATTATATCCAATATACATCGAAGTTCAAAGTTTACAATTTTATATGTACATGTTATTTCCCACGTCATATTATTCATTTATCACCTGAAAAATAGAAAATTTATAAATTCCATGTGATTGCCAGCATCTGCGGACTTCAGGTAATATTACAGCCGTTATCAAGAAGGTGTGAACGGTCGCTCACCATGTCATGAGGAATTCATGATTTTTCCCAGATTCCCAGAGTTTTCAAGACCCGCTCTAATCGGAAGTTTAATTTTTACTAATCTAAATTCCAAATTCTTCGATTTCCCACATAGGTATATGGAAATAGTTGTTCACACATTTTGAAAAACGGCTATAAACCGTTATTTACTTATCCATTTCAACACCGATTTCCCAACTATAAAAAAAATCATTCAGAACATTCCCTCTGGTTGTCATGTTAACGGCCTTTTGATAACATTCGAAGGTTTTGTGAAAGTCTTTTTCTATACTGACATAGTACTGGTACCTTCACCTCAACTCATAAAGTTCAGCACCTGTTTGAACTGTATCGACTACACTCTTACGAAGCTCAAACTTCTTATGAGAAACTCAAAAAGGTGCGCTTGTAATAATTATATTTGATTAAATAAGGGCTAGGGTTAGTTATTTTATAGTTAAGGTTAGAATAAGCAGCATAGGTAAAATACTCTTTTTTTTGTCGCTTTTGCTTCACTATGATTGATTGGTAGTTGTATAATTGTATGTCTTTAAACATTCCACCTTATGGTAATATTTTCAACTTTGATTCATTATTAAAAAAAAATTTTTTCAAGTGAAAATTTCATTTAGCATGACAAATCAGCATGTTGACACTGTTTGATCGTTATCTGTACTGTACGTACGTACGTACGTCATCTCGTACGCAAATCGTTAACAAAAAAGTTACAGAACCCGAAGACTACTTAACATTATATTTTTATTTATTAACTGCATGATTGAAATTATTAAAAACACCAGAATTGAATAATACCAATTCTCTTAAATATATGAATTTTATTGTATTTACAAAAAATTATTAAATCTTAAGCACTTAAATTTGAATTTAGTAACACTTAAATGTAATAATTTATTTTTCCCAGGAATTGAGTCATAAACAAACAAATGTCAAGTCATTGTTTAATTAACAAAATGAGTCAGTTATTTGACAAATAAATAATTTTGAATTTTATTTACGTAGAAAGCTTGACACAAAATCATTTTGCTTTAATAACATATACATATATACTTTGAACTTCAATGAATTTTAAGTGAAAAAAAATGCAGTAGGCAGTATTAAAATTATACATACCTTTTTCAAGAGTATTACATAGGTACAGTACGTACGATATATACATGTGATCACGTGTTAGAATACATTACCTATTTCACGTGACTAGTTCCTATTACGGCTGCCAAGGGAAAACCTGTTATCGGACTTTCAATCACGTATTTTGTGTACAGTTGCCGTCTATGGAACATCTATCATAATTATATATTTTTCATAGACGGCTAACTGTACACAAAATATAATTGAAAGTCCGATGACAGGTTGGGTTTTCCCTTGACGGCACTCATATTAAATGAATTAAAGAAACTTATAAGTGCCTTATACAAAATAGATATTTCAGTTATTATAACGATAAACTTTAGCGAAATTATTTTTATTTGTCATATGAATGAAATAACAGAATTTGTATACTCAGGCAACGATTTAAATCTAAACTTTAATTAAAACATAAGATTATTTTTATACGTACAGACCTTTTTTCCGAGAAAAGTACCCGAGAAATGAACAATAATCTTTGATCTCTTGTCGGCTCCAGGCATTGAATATAAATAACATTCAGAGATTTTAACTGCAGATTGTAAAAAACTATTAATAATAAGTATACAATATTTGGGCAAAAATTGCCCAATATTGGTGTTATCCGGCAATTTATGATCATGATTGGTAGGGAGTCGCTCGCTGAGTTTTAATTTTGAATACTGGAATAAACATAATTACATCGTAAACACATGAAAAAAATAACAAAAATAAATTTTTCATGATAATATGAGTTTGCCGGATAACTTATAGATAATTTTAAAATTCTATAATACTTAAAAGATACGTTAGAATTCTAAAGTTATTGTACATTATGTTAATAAATTTTGATCAATGAAAACTTATTTTAAAACACGCAACAGGTAATGAATCCCCTGCAGTAATTTTACGCATAAAAATGAAGTAATTATATTCATATTTTGATACGAATCAATGCTGAAAACAACTGCTTAAACAATTATTACAATGTAATCTTACATTGTGCTTCAATGGATCTCTAATTAGAAAGGCTCGTTGATCGATACATGTAAAAAACTATTTGAGTGCCGTCAAAGGAATACCTGCAATCGGGCTTTCAAGTATATTTTGTGTACAGTTGGTTATCTGTGTGCCGTCTATGGTAAATCTATCATCGCACACAGATTTACCATGACGGCACGCAGATAACCAACTGTACACAAAATATACCCGAAAGCCCGATTGTAGGTTTTCCTTTGACGGCACTCATTTGCAAAGTACTGTACATACGTACGTATGATGCAATTTTTGCTGGTATAACAAGAGGTCAGACAATTTTAATGTTATATAAAAATAAATTATGCAACCTAAAAAAGTAGTTACAACTCTCAATGTTAGGCAACTGTTGTTTTTATAATTCATTCTATATTTCCTGACTTCAGAGGTAGTTTAGAACATGAATTAATGAAATTTTTAGAACATTTTGTTAGTCTAAGTTTTCTTATTAATTTAAATTAGAATGTTATTATTAAGTTAATTCCAGCCACATTGCACACGGCCAATGATTCTGGGAGAATTAAGAACAGACAAAATTAGAAACTTTTTTTAATAAACTGATAAATAATAATACAAATGGGATTGATAGTTAGGTTTAATTAAGGAAATTTATTTCAAGGAAAATGTATAAATTCAAAAATGAGAATGATAAACTAACTTTATACCTTAAAACAAAGGGAAAAAAGCAGGCCACACGTTTCAAAATCATTGAATTTATATTATAGGTCACACAGACTCCTATTTACAGTCAAACTAATGATGCAATTGTTCTTCAATACAGTTCTAAGATAATATCCAATTATAAAAGTTTAGTAAGTTATCTTTAACTACTATTAATAGTGTTGAATCTATCGTCCAAAGATATTTTCTTAAGACTAACTTTTATAAGATTCGGAAAAATTTAAATGCTATAATGATTACTAATCAAATAATTTACAGTATCTCGAATTATAGTCTAGACCGTCTGTACCATTACCATGAAAAAAAAATTTTATCGTTATACGTATTAGATAATTATTATACTTTCATTGACAAAGAACTCTGTTATGGTTACGTATGTATGTACGTACATACCAAAGATGGCGCCGAAACCTTTTTTGCCATTTCCGAAAGTTTTGGGTTTCGGATTATAGCTTCCGAAACCTTATCCGAAACTCGAAACCTCAACCGAAACCCGAAACCTCGACCGAAACCCGAAACCTCAACCGAAACCCCGAAACTGCCAAAACATCAATAATTTATTTGTTTATTCTCTCAGAAATTGGCGCCGAAACCCTTTTGTGTAGAGATGGGTAAAGTCAGTTTGAATAAGTATTATTAAGTAATTTTACAATAATTTTATCATTAATAACAACTTTTCGTTCAATCTCAATTTTGATCACCCGTCTCCGACTTTTAACATGTGTTTATATGGGCTAGGTGCTGGAAAAAGGAAAGAAAATGACAATTTTTTCAAAACAAATTTTTTTACATAAATTAATTTAGAATAAGATTAGAATCTTTTTTCGCTTAAGATACAAAAGTAGTTGTGTTAATAAAATTTTGCAGTATAGCTCTTTAAAGTTTGTATTTTCTTATAATCTATTATAAGATTTATAACACAAAAATTGATTTTCTGAAGATCTTTTGTTTTGTCGATTTCGTTCCTTTTTCCAGGCCCATATGTACACGTAATAGATAATTTAATTGATCTATATAATGTTATAATTTATTTTCAAAAATAATTTTACATTTTGGGTTCATTAAAAATAAAATGATATTTTTGAGTTTCGGATTATAGGTTTGGGTTTCGGATTATAGTTTCGGGGTTTCGGGTTTCGGAGTTTCGATTTTTTTTAAAAAATCCGAAACTAGTTTCGGGTAGGTTTCGTTTCGACGCCATCTTTGGTACATACGTACGTATATGTATATTTATGAAAGAATTAAATGAATCCCGATAAAGCAATGAAGTCCTAAAACTATAAATGGTGCTACAATTTTTAATTTTATGATGAAATTTTTCCTTTGCCATACAACGAAACTTTCCACAAAAACTGTATTTTCTAAAACGTGAATTTTTATTTTTGCCACATGATTTATGTTCGCACACTAAAATACCCGACTTTATTTAGTTCAAAGAAATTTTACATGCAAGATTAACTTTTTACTTCCTTAATTGAATAAGACATTATCTTTCTGACCACTGTTTTAATATTTTCGTCAGAATATAGAATTCAGATCATTATCAAAAAAAAAAAAAACCGATGCTTATTCAATATTTATAGATTCGGAAATTCAGAAATTTCCTTGCCCATATATTTTATTTTTATTATGCTCCGAACATTTTAAAATTGCTATTAATTTCTGTTCAAGAAATAATATTTAATAGTTGTACCTGTGGTTCTAATGCCAAGCGTAGCACGAACATTGATCAATTTCATAAAAAGCGAAATTTTTAAATCTATAAGTTTCTATTTTTAACACTAAAGGTTTCAAATTTTGATAAAATAGATAACACTTGATAAAATAGATAACATTTGATTAATTAGATAACATTTGATAAATTAGATAACATTTATTTTTCAATTAGGCGGTGTATCAATTTTATTTCATATTCAGATGATCATTATCATTAAAAAAAGTTTGCTTATTTCATGAATGATACGTATTCCAAAATCTGTTATTAAATGTAGTAAAAATGATATCAAAATTTCATTTTTGATGATAAATATCGAAAAAAACATAGCTTTGAATCTCTGCCTGCTATTATAAAGCTCATGTGACTTGTAACTATTTACTCAGATCTGTAACAGGTTTGCTTTCTTATTATAATTAAATGATTATTGCAAAAAGCATCTATCAATGTTTATATTCGTTTCCAAATTATGAGTAATTGTTTTTTCTTTATGTGATGCTTTTGATTTCCAAAGATACTTGCATGAAAACTTATAATGTCTCATGATTTCAAATACAGTGATAAATGCAGCCAGTGTTGTTCTGGACACCTGTCCATGTACATGGACACACGTCAATGGACATGTGGACATAGGCAGTTCATGTCCATGGACAGACAGCCCATGGACATGGGCATTAGACACTCTATTGTCTCTCTATGTCCATGGACTGATGTCTATATTCATGTCCATGTCCGGAACAACACTGAATGCAGCCAAGATTAATAATTGCTAATACTGCAAAAAAATCAGTGATATATACAGTCAATTCTCGTTAAATTGAACCCTTAGGGTTTATTAAAAAATATATATATTTTCAAAAAGTTCGGTGTTTAGACAGTTTAATAATTGATCGGTTTATCCAGGTTCGGTTTTGGAGGTTTGGCTTTATCTGGTATATCTGTATATCGATTACAAATTTTTTAAAAAAGAATGCCAAGTGCACAAAACAATATGACAATGGTTAAGTACAGTATATTTGCCACATTACACCTATTGATACAAAACAAAATCGTGTTACAATTATAACCATTATTTCCCGATAATCATGAAACCGACAAGGCCACAATTTCCAGCTCCGTTAATTTTACAGACAAATTCCATGCGTTATTTCTAAAAATTTTATAGGTCAATTACTTTTAAAAGAGAATTTTATTATTTCCCTTTTAAGAACGGCTGACCCCAGTGATTAATTTATTGCAGCTTTATTTGGCTTAATGACAAAATCACAAGGGCTTTCACTAATTAATTAGAATTCCTAAATAGCCTTCCTTGAATATCTTGATTCTCGCCTAAGCTATGAAGTTTATTTTTATTAATGAGTATATATCATAAAAATAATATATACGATATATAATATATATAATATATACGATATATAATGTATATAATATATATATATTATTCGGATCAAATTTATAAAATATTTCTATTTTCAATTATGAAGCAATAAAATCTTTGTCTACAGAATTTCTAATATTGTGATCGTATAATAATTATACGAATTTACTGTATATATTGCATCATGTAATTTATGAAGTATCTAATTTGAGTCACCCCGCAGTGCGCGATTATTTTCTTTGCAAAATAAATAAATAAAATAAAATGAATAAAAAAAGAAAAATAAAGAACAAAGAAAATGACAGCATAAAAAACTTCCCTTGGAAAGTTCTCAACTATCCGGTGCAACAGAACTGCACACATGGCGAATATTCTCACATCATTTTTTTAAATTGCCAAATTAGCAACTAACCACAATATTTAAATTTAAACTATTTATAACAAAATCAATTAAATATTCGATCAAGTGATTTTAATATATTCACCATGAGTGTTATTTTGTCTATAAATGTCTCGATCAATACCAAAAAAAAATAAAAAATTACACTTCGTTGGCGTTTCTTGTAAGTATTTTATAATTTCTTTTTTAAATGAATCCTTGATAATATTTAGCATAAAACATCTAAATTTATAAATTTCAATCTCAAAACTGTTCATTCATTTCTTTTATATTCATTATATTTAATTTTATTTAGCTGTCCTTTAAATATGACGTTACCATCATTATCAGATACGTCGAGAATCGAACTATTGACTCTATGACAATATACAAGAGTCGATTATTAAACTTTCAATCCCTTCACGTTACACAATAATGCATTATTTATACGAAATTTGGCAAAATCTAATGTTATTTATAATGATATTTTAATTTTTAGCGTAGGGGGTTTCTGATTTCGAATTAAATTAGCGACGTATTAATTTTGTAATCAGCGATCTATAAATCTTTATTTATCTTTATTTGCAAGCCTATTTATATAATTAGATATAATATACCATCGAAAAAAGTTTGTTTATTTTATCTCCAGACAACTCCTTTTTTATTTTCTGATTTCGAAATTTCAAACCAAAAACAGAACTTTCAAACTCCCGCTTATTTTCAAAATAAGTTAACTCTGAAACCCCCAGTGGTAAAATATAATATGTTATTTATATCGAAAATCTAATTCTAGAATGAACGAATAATTTTTTTTCTTTTACAATATAATTTCTATTGTAATTCGAATAAAAATCTGAATATGTAACATTAAGAAATTAAGTTTAGTTAAGAATCTTTCACAATTGAAAAAAATTAACGTTTAATAACTTTTATAAAAATACTTTAAATTTTTACAATCGCATAAATAAAAGTATATTCGACAAAGTTTATTATTATTATTATTCCGTATTATTATTGTTATTTGATTTTGTACTACGATACTGTGTACCTATTTTTTTTTTTGTCCAACATCTAAATAAAGAAATTTATCGTCATAAATTATATTATAATTAATGGTCCTTTTTAAAGTACAAGTTCCTCATTACGGTAATTACTCAGATAGGCAAGTCACGGGATATAGATTTCTATTCCTGGTAAGCACGAAATAAAAATAGATTGGAAAAAAAATTATATTCGGATTGTATCACTAACAATACCCCTTATATATAACGTTAAACGAAAAGTACGTATGTACGTACGTACATGTGTATATACATATATTCGAAAGTATTTGAACGTACATTTCTAGTTTGCGACATTATTAAATAAACAAGAATCTTTAATCTATGGCGTAATTGCATTGGAGAGTGAAAAAGGTCATTATAATGTTCACTTTAGCACCAATATTTCATATTAATTAATAATGATAGCGGAACTAATTGAATTATTTGCTAATAACTAATTATGTGTATCATATTGCACTCGTTTCCTGTATTCTAATAATTATATTATAACAAAAAAAAAATGATTGTCGAGTGAAGGAAATTAAAATCGTGAGTTTATATTTATTAAAATAAGCCAGTTGGCATTAGTTTATTAATTTAATTGTTAACCTTTTTTGTTAATTACATTTGAATCGACTTTCTTTTATTAATTACTAGATGTTAGACCTATTATTAAAGGGTTTGATTTTAACATTTTTTACAATATATCTATTGTAATAGTATACAATTTTCGGGTTTCTCCAATTTACATGGAATAGAGACAAGTTGGAATATATACAAGATGTAAAAAAGAAATCCGAAGCGATGGATAAAGACGAATTTTAACCAATCATCAGATTTAGAAGAAAATCAGATAATCGAATAAATAGAATGGTTATTGTTAAATAATTATTCTAATGACACTTTATGGTTGGTGTTAAATTATTATATATTATTCTTTATAGTTAGTATTATATAGTTATTGCATACAACATATGCAATAACTGCTGTATTTTATGGATAATGATGATTGGTTGGTAACCCAGCCGATATGGCTGGGTTACTGAACGATCAGAAGAGAACATAAAATACAGCAGTTAGTGCTTACGGAGCATACAATAATGGTTTTATTTTATGATTTACTATGAAATAGTTAATTATTTTATTATTATTCACAGTTATTTAAAATTATTCTAATAGCTTTGTATTAAAATTACTCAATTTAGCTCCATTGTTATCCTGGATAAAGGTAAACAAGCTACATTGATTTTTCTTTGAAATAAATCAGTAGCGGTGAATAAAGACAGCAGCTATGCTAATTTTAACTAATCATCAGATTTGACGTAACAAATAATTGAATAAATAGAATTGTTACTTTAAATAATCATTCTAACGGCACTTAATGGTTGGTATTAAATAATTATTATTCTATCAACACTTTATAGTTAGTGTTAAGTAATTATTTTTAGCTATTTATAATTAGCAATATAAGAATCGAAGAAAAGTCTATGCATATAATAAGGGTTTGTTATAGGTATGTCTATAGCTTAATATTTATAATTCTTATCTTAATAATTATACTTTTACTAATTCATATTCTAACCTGACTCTAACAATCATAGGAAGACTTTCGTATGATTAGCTGTTTAAATCAATTTAATTTACATTATTTATACAGTTTAAAGTACTTTTTAAAAAAAACAAAACTACGAAGAATAAACAAAAAAGAAGTATATAGAAAGTTTTATTAGGTTGTAGGACTCCACTATTAAAAAGTATCTCCATCACTTTTTGTTTTATAGAAGTTAGCACGTTGATAACCTAATTCAATCTATCTTTAAGAAGTCGCTATTATGCTAACTTCTCTAAAACAAAAAGTGATGGAGATACTTTTTAATAGTGGAGTCCTACAACCCTAATAAAACTTTCTATATACTTCTTTTTTGTTTATTCTTCGTAGTTTTGTTTTTTTTTAAAAGTACTTTAAACTGTATAAATAATGTAAAATTAAATTGATTTAAATAGCCAATCATACGAAAGTCTTCCTATGACTCTAACAATAATAGACAGAATTACTTTGTCTATAAAATAAGCTTTGATAAAATAGACTGTTAATAAATAAACAATATGGTTTTTATAAAGTGATTTTTGGTGAGTTAATTAGATAGGTACGTATTATTTCACTGACAATCACTTCATAAATACCACATTCACTAACAATTATTTACTAACAAGTTTGACAGTCTATTTTACTGAAACTCATTTCATGGACAAGTTTTTTTTTATAAATAACATTAACTTTAACTCTAATACTAACCAAACTCTAATAGAATTACTTTGTCTATAAAATGAGCTTTAGTGAAATAAACTGTCAGTGAAATAAATTTGCTAGTAAGTAATTGTCAGTAAAATGTAGTGTCTACGAAGTGATTGTTAATGAGTTAATCTAATCCCAATTAGATCCTGCATTTATGTTTATTTTTTTTGTCATGATATATAGTAATGCAATAATATTGCAAAATGCAAAATTTATAATATTATTTAGTTTTTAGCTTAGTCAGATAAAATGTATTAATTATATATATATTTTGTAAAGATTATATATATAGTCTATTATAAGTTTAAACAAATTTGTAAAAAATTTTTCATTAAAAATTTACTTTATTTTATTACTTATTTTAAAAATGTCTTCTGAAAATTTATATAAAAAACAATGTTTAAAAGTAATTAAAATTATCAAAGAAGCTGAATCAAGTGATGATGAAATGGATTTAGATTTGGAAGATGAAATGAATTTAGACTTAAATAGTCAAAATTTATTAAATACTGAAGTTGTTCGTAATAAAGTTCCTAAATCTAATGATTGGGTTCAAAATTGTCTATTTAATTATAATGAACCTGAATTTAGAAAAACACTTAGAATGGATAAAAAAACCTTTTGGATTTTAGTTGAAAAAATTCAATATCATCCAATATTTTATTCTGATTCAAATAATCTTCAAACAAGTGTTGAATTACAACTTGCTATTACTTTAAATCGATTAGGTACAAACTCTTCACTTTGGACAATTTCAACCTTATTTGGAGTTTGTGAAGCAACAGTATTAAATTTTTTAAATAGAATAATTATTGCTATTCAATCTTTAAGATCAGAATATATAGTTTGGCCAATTGAAAACTATAGACAAGAAGTTAATATTGGATTTGAACAAATTCAAGGATTTCCAATGATTATTGGAGCTATTGATGGATCACATATTCCTCTATATGAAGCACCAAGCAAAAATAATAAAGATGTATATATGTCACGTAAACACAAATATGGTATTCATTTACAAGGAGTTGTAGATCATAAAGGTTTATTTATTTCATATGAAATTGGATGGCCTGCATCAGTTCATGATGCAAAAGTATTTTCAAATTCAAATATTTTTAAAAATTATAAAAATTATTTTAAAGAAGAAGATTATTTAATAGCTGATTCAGCTTATCCATTACTTCCATGGGTTATAACACCTTTTAAAGATCCACAAGGTTTACAAGCTCAACGACAAAAACTTTATAATATTGCACATAGTAAAACAAGAGTTGTTATAGAACAAGCTTTTGGTCGATTAAAAGCTCGGTTTCCTTTTTTAAAAGAGATGAGAATAAAAGATACAAAAAAAGCAACTGATATTATTGATATAGCATTAATATTACATAATTTTATTGAAAAACATAATGATATCTGGGGAAATAATGATTATGATGATGAAATAATATTAGAACCAAATGAAGATAATGAATTAATTGAACAAACAGTAGAAGATAATGAACCAAATAGAACAGTAAGAGAATATGCTAAAATTAAACAACAAAATTTATTAGAATTTATTTTAAATTAATCTATATATAATCTATATATTATTTGTTTTTTTAATAATCATATTTTTAATAAAATTACTTCTTTAATTCAACCTTGATTACATACTGTCTTATTAGAGTAGTAATTCTTTAATAGAATGTTTTACTGCAATTCATAAGAAAATTATGATAATTCTAATGCAAACTGACTTGGCACATATTATGATGTTTAGAGTGGGTTCATGCCACTTGCCCAACAACAATTTTCCCAACATCCATTTCTCTAACAATATTTTTCTGATATACCCCTTCCCTGACAACCACTTCCCTAACATACTGTTTTCCCCAACATATCTTTTTCCCCAACAACCACTTCCCGACATCCCTTCTCAGACATATCCTTTTCCCTGACATATCTTTTTTCCTGACATATCCTTTTTCCCGACATAACCTTTTTCCCGACATTCCCTTTTCCCCAACATTCCTCTTTCCCCAACATCCCTTTCCCTGAAATTCCCTTTTCCCCGAAATACCTTTTTCCTCGACTTATCCTTTTCCTGACATCCCCCTTTCCATGACCCACCCTTTTCACGGTTCTATGTCAATATCCTGAAAATCCTTATACACTAAATCCTTAAAGGTCAAAATCCTGAAAGTATAATATGCTAAAAATTTAAAACCTGAAAAAAAAAATTCTGAAAGAACACAATCCTGAAAATTACAATTTTGAAGGATTATAATCCCGAAAGGGTCACAGTCCTGAAATTAGGATTCTAAAAAGTCAGAGTCTTATCCATATATTTCGTAGCTAATTTAATAAAACATTCCGGTCCTAAACATTTAGGTCTTGATCCACCGATAATTCTTGATACAAGATTATCAAACGGAATTATGTCAAATGCCCTTTGTCCGATCGAAATCTCTGCCACGATAACCCAAGACTGTAAATATTTGACGCTTCAGTATATTGTTGACCCATTAAAATCTTTGGTGCTATATACGGCAGAACTCCAAAAAATTTTTCTTCTTTTACTTTTTTACAAAATCCAAGATCAGTGATATTTGCATCACGTAAATTATTTTCAGGCAAAAATATTTCCACTGTGTAAATCTCTGTGAATGGGTTTATGAGAATGAATTGACTCGAGATCCAAAGCTATACAATACAGGAGATTCAGTTTATCTTTCCATTCTAATTGTGATACTTCTACAAGATTTTGCTGTAATAAGCCTCTTGGTATAATATCTATGACACAATATAATAATTTCTTGACACTCCCAAACAATTCAAGAATGAAGGATTTATTTTCGTAACCAATTTCAAGTAATTCCTCAATTCTTGGATAAATTCTTGGTCATTTTTGTCTGTATTATGAATCACTTTAAGTGCAATATCTCTCCATATATTATTAAATTTATCGAATTGACGTGTAGAATATATCTCCTTTTCCTTCTCTGATATCGTCGAATTCATTATAATCAATCCAAGATAATTTAAATCGCTCATAATCTAATATTCTCTTAAGTTCAGCATTAATATGATCAGATAATTTATTTTCAAATTACTTCTATATTTTTTGAACAAATGATTTGTCTTCTGAATATCTCTCTTTGTATTGGTACCGTTTCGATAACATAGAGCAACATTTCTCAGCACTCCATTAACACCCATATTAACAACTTTTTGATTGTTTTATTATAATCTTCCAACACTACTCATTCCTATAGTATTGCCCAAATCAGCAGACTTCTTACCATGTACAAATGATTTCTGGTAATCTTTTTTCTACTCAAAATCCATAATAAACAAGTACCAACATCATTCATCGCTACCGGATTTCCTAACTCAGCTGCTATCATATAATATTCAAAGACTTCATTTCGTCTTTCATAGCACCAATGCCATGATTATGATTGTAACCAAGTGTACGAAGTTGTTTGGAGTCCATTTTTTCAAAGAAAGAAAAAAAATCATGCACCAAATAATATGCAAACTTTATTTACCGAAGCATTAGCAGGCGGCAGACATTTAATGTCTAGTTAAAGTTATACAAAAGTCAATTCAATAATTACATATTTAATTAGCTTATTAGTTGACTTACATTGTTTATTAAAAACGTAAATTTGAATTTTTTCATATATCTAGTCGCATGTATTTTAGAGTATATAACTAGATATTAATTTTGTTATAGACTTGGTTGGCTAGTAATGCTTAACGCCCGCCCAGCTCAAAGCATTTACCCATAATTTTGAGGATTACCTCTTAAAAAATTCATATCATAGAATAATAATCATATTGAAATTTATTAATAAAGCTAGGGATATCACGAAAAACTACATTATAATTCTGCTACTAATAGTAGATAGTAATCGCAAAGATGGTGTTTTGGAAATATAGTTATCACAAATAAATTGCATTTTATAGATTAATGAAATGATAATAGATGATAGTGAAAATAAAGATTTGCTAAGATTAATAAAGTCTTAAATTCTAGGACTTTATTAAATAATATGTTTAACATTGCTACATATAACTAGAGAATTCATTATACTGTATCTAATATAACATCCGTCTTCACAATCCTCGGTAATTAAGACAATGAAGTAATATCTAATAATAAAATTTTGTCTAATATTTAGTTATAAAATCCTTACATAAGTGGTTCAGAAGTTTGATACTTACCAACCAAAGGTTTTGGCATGATTGTGCGAAATCCAAATTAAAGAAGACAAATGAGTATGCCTAATATCAATTGATAGATGAATAAATATCATAATTAATTATAAAAAGGTCGTACCTGAGTAAAAAAAAATATTCATTCATCTTTTAATTTTATTGGTACTTTAGCATCAAATATTTAATTTCCTACTGGCAAACGTGTACCCTTATGGATTATAGACTAAAGAATTCTTGATAAGTATTTTATTTAAACTAGAATGAGGTTAATTAAAAATTTCATCTAGATATTAATGTCATTTCACACGATATTAAATATTAGTAATACTGTACAATAAAAAAAATACACAGTTGATACTGTCTAATTGCATATACTCTCTAAATGCATAAAAAATTTTGACTTTTAATTATTAACGCAAAGATGGTTCTTATGACTTAAATGCATATATTGTCTATATGCATAAAAAAGTCTCTGACGGATAGTATGCAATTAGACAGTATCGACTGTAATTGGCATCCCGAGGCAATTATGCCAAAAAGGCATACTAGTACATGAAATGTAAGAGAGATGGTTCCATTCAATTTTTTGGATATGGCCTATGCTTATTTTGAAAAATCCTTAATGAATTTTGTTTAGTAAGCTTGATAATCCTCTTTAATGGTTAGGGTTAATGTAATCACTGGTATTGTTCTTTTTTCATGCTAGGGTTAGTAGGATAGTAGCTTTAGTTTGGCAAAATTTTCTTTTACAAACTGTACATTGTCTGGCACCACTGGTAAAAATGAAAATTTTGACATATCGAATGGACTATTTGAATGCCATTCAACATGCCATTCAATGCACCATTCAACTTGTCATATAATTTTCGCGGACATGAATGTCCATGAAGTTATGTGATAGTGTCTGAATGACATATCGAATGGCATTTAAATATGAAAAAAAAATCTTGAAACGGATTAGTGAAGAAAAAATTGTTATAAAAAAGATCATAAATTTACAAAAATTTCTTATACAAATCCAACAATTGCATTTGAAATTATTCTAAGACAAATTCAAGCTTATGACAATTAATCCACTTGTTAAAGCTTGTAAATAATTTACTGCATTTGAATATACATACTGATAAAAATAAAACGTTTTTATTATAAATTTATTTATTTATTTATTACAAATTTCCTTTATCCCCGCATTATACTTATATTTTAATTCTAGTTCTTTAATACTTAAATCTAACTTCATTTTATACTCTAAATCTAATTTATGTTTATCTAATGCTAATTTTATATTTTCTAATTCGATATGTCTTTGATGATCAAATTTTTTACGTTCAAATTCTAACTTTTCTTTTTCTAAATCGTACAGTTGTTTCTTTGTTTGTGCAGCTATTTTTTTACTTTCGCTAATTGTATTCATAGTTTGAATATAAACTTCATCATCTTCACTTAACTTACGTTTCTTTCTTTTTAATGAATGGTCTTTTTCTGATTGATTAGTATTTTTAGAAGGCTATTATACAAATTAAAGATTATTTAATAATAAAAAAAATAATAATTAACAGTAAATAAATCTGTATAAATTACCTTTCCCGTGCTATCGATTATATATTCTGGATTTACATTTTCACGGTTACCAAAAATTTCATTCATTTCTGTAAAGAATATCCATTTTGATACTGCTTTTCCTGTTTTATTTGCGTTTTCCTTCATATACTTATTAATTAACCATCTTATTTTGGTTGCAACTTGTAATCCAGTTTTTCCCTTGCCGAGGTAAAGAGCAGCTTTATAATAAAATTGGTTTTTTTTAAATTGATAATCTTTTATATGATCAGAAAGGTATATAAGTAGTGATTTTACAACAGAGTTAGGCCACAGTTTCTTATCATTGATATCTTCAGGTTCACTAGCATCTTCGATATCACTAAATAAATCAATATCAGATTTATTTTTAGGATTAGTTGAATTTGAAGAAGATGCAATAATAGGTGACAAAGGTTCGATATTAGAAGGTTCAATAACAGGAGATAAAGATTCGATATTTGAAGGTTCAATAACAGGAGTTAAAAGTTTTACAGAAGCTAAAGGTTTGATAATAGGATATGAAGATTCTATAGTAGAAGTAACAGAATCATGAGAGTTATTCGAAGCAGTTGTATACAAATTAATATCAGAAGTAATTTTATAAGGATGATGCAAATTATCTTTGTTTTTTTTTTCTTGATATACTTTAAAAACTGGTTTACTTTGAGCGAGTTTCAAAGATTTAGGAATCATTTTTAAAAAAATTCGATATTTTAAAAAGACAAAATCAGAATATTTATAAAAAAGAAAATGCTAAGACAAATTAACAATACTTTTTTTACA